CTGTCGCATCGTATTTAGTTTATTTGACTAATATTGGTAAATCTACTAGCAGCATAAATGAAGCTTTTTATGTTATAAGTTGGGCTCATAGATTAACCGGAGTTGAAAATCCGTGTAAATCGGATTTGGTTATTTCTGTGAAGGAAGGATCTTTGAGATCTGTTGGACACATTGTGGTTAAGAAAGAACCTATAACACAAGAAATTTTGTATCAAATTGTTATGCTTTATGGTAACGATAAATCTAATCTTAAGATGTTAGAATAGCATGTATGGGCCTTATAAGTTTTGCTGGATTTTTGAGGTATTCAGAATTAGCAAATCTGACAAGAAATAATATTGCTTTTCATGATTTGTACATCGTTTTACTGATAGAGAGTAGTAAAACTGATATTTACCGTGAGGGTAGAGATGTCCTCATTTCAAAAACGGACAAAATTACATGTCCCGTTAAAATGTTTATGAAATATTTAGATTTAGCAAACATCAAGTCAGACAGTAATGATTTGATTTTTCGTCCTTTATCTTTTTGTAAATCTGTAAATGGTTACAAATTAAGAAATGGGAAGCTTTCTTATACTACTGCAAGAGAAATTCTGTTATCTACTTTAACATCTATTGAATTAGACAAAAAGTATTTTGGTTTGCATAGTTTGAGGTCCGGAGGCGCCACTGCTGCTGCAAACGCGCATGTGGAAGATCGAATCTTCAAAAACATGGTCGCTGGAAATCAGACCGGGCTAAGGACGGATATGTCAAAGAGAACATCAGTGAACGTCTGACAGTAACTAAAAATTTAGGAATTTAAAAACACACATTTGCGCCTTTCTTTGTTTTGTCGAAAATAGCTGCACATGCTGGCGAGCTATTCCTATGTAACAAGTGTTTGTTTTTATTTTATAAATACTTTATATGCGTTTGAGGTGACGAATTAGAATATAAATGTATTTATTAAAGTTGAGCATACACGTGTTTTCTATTATGTAAACAATCACACGTGATTGTGTGTCCGCATAGTGGTCATCTATTGGTGTTTATATTGGATAAACAGGTTTGTGTTTCAAATATATGATATTTCAGATTGGTCAATATTTGTCGCGTTGCGTAAATATATTGAGTATGATATTTGTTATGTAAATAGCACGGGATTTTTAAAGCGCGAATAGTTGTCTTGTTTAAGTAATTTAAGGTATATGGTCATTCGAAGCTCGTATACCGTTCAGTAAGGCAGCTTAGTTTAGGTTAAGACCCCTCTCTCCCCCACCCGGATTAAGATGCTTGTATATTTGAAATGTTTCCACGCATAGATAGATAGATATTTATACTATCAGTAGGACATTGTTTGTTTGATTATTAAGATTTATATGTATATATGATTTCTGATTTTGTTTTTCTATTTTGTAGGCTGTCGTGTACTACGCAGCGGTGTTGCCGATATCATGACATCGGGACTCAATATTTTGTTTTAATAAAATTTAACAGTAAGCTGCACATGCTGGCGAGCTATTCCTATGTAACAAGTGTTTGTTTTTATTTTATAAATACTTTATATGCGTTTGAGGTGACGAATTAGAATATAAACGACATTTTCTTAAATCAAAATATATAAATAGAGGTATTGATTTTAATAACTTATCTAGTATATTCAATGACTTTGCCATCCAAAGCCAAAAACCTCCATATTTTGATAATATAGAACCACCTATTATTTCGTATTCTTATAAAAAACCCAGCAGAGTTTGAGTTTTAATTATTCGTCAGTTACATCAGACGTCAATATAGAAAATAATTTTCTTTCCACTTGAGACTGTGAAACATCTAGTTTTAGATATGTTCCCTAGGGACATGTCCTTACAGGATACCTCAACATCGTCAAAGACCGTGAGGTCATAATTTTTCTTAAAAAAGGACAGAAATATCGTCCTCCATCTAAAATAGATTGGAAACAGTGTCGTCAGGTCATTAAAGACGATCTGTCTGTCTACTGTAAAAATTGGTGTAAACGTGAAACATCTGATAAAAAATCTCTAGACAGTTATTTGAATAAAATTATGAATACTGTTAATATTCGTATATCTCATTTTGAAAACAATTCTGAAATTAGTAATAGGGTCCATGATATTCCCATTTCTAGAAAAAAAAAAAATAAACTCCAAGTATTCGCAATGCGGTTTGTGTTCGTACCGGCAGACAAACCAGCAAATAATGTAGTGGTGGTGTGACGAATATACTACACGGAAGTTCTCCAAAACGAAATTACAAATTCTTCTACATTCAGGTCCGTACGCTCCACAGAGAGTCAAATTGTAAACAAGCATATCACTGCCACTACCCAGCTTAAAGCCTCTTCCGAACATTTGAAAGTCCCTACTATGTACTGGTTACCTAAATTGCACAAAAAAACATTTAAATTCCGTTTCATTTCCACATCTAGTAAGTGGTCTACTACCAATCTATCAGTGCTTCTAACTACCTCCCTTACTACTATCAAAGAACTTGTTATTTACTTTTGTAATAAAGGTTATGAAAATAATGATATTAATCATTTTTGGAGTGTAAAAAATTCTTTAGAGGTTTTAGATAAAATACATGCTTTTGATGGTCCTTTTAATTCTGTTGACAGTTATGATTTTTCTACTCTCTATACTACACTTTCACGCAATCTTATCAAGAAAAAGTTTTCATATTTAATTAAATGGTCTTTTGAAAAATCTCATTACAAATTTATTTGCTGTATCTCGTTTAAAGCCTTTTTCTGTAACGAAAAAGAAAAGTATGCTAGATACACTTACTGGAAATGTGAAGATATGATTGAAGCTTTAAATTTTCTCTTGGACAACATATATGTACGTTCCGGCGATAAAGTGTATCGACAGGTAGTAGGTATTCCTATGGGCACTAACTGCGCCCCTTTAATAGCAGATTTATTCCTGTATTGCTATGAATCTCAGTTCATGACCAAACTCAGTAAAGACACGTCATTGTTACATTTGGTTGATACATTCAACAATACCTTCCGTTATCTGGATGATATTTTTTCGTTAAATAATCCAGAGTCCTCTAAATATACTACCGAAATATACACAAAAGAACTTACTTTAACTAAATCTAACATAAACAGCAGTAGTTGTCCTTTTCTAGATTTGGACATTTCAATTTCTAAAGGAAAACTCCATACTAAAATTTACGACAAAAGAGACGACTTTTCATTCCCTATTGTTAATTTTCCTTTTTTAGACGGCGATGTTCCTTTGGCTCCATCATACGGTGTTTATATATCCCAACTCGTTCGTTATGCCCGTGTGTGTAGTGATGTCATAGATTTTAACGAACGTAATCAATGCATCACTGGTAAATTATTAAGTCAGGGATTTCGTTACCATAAATTACTTAAAACTTTTACTAAATTCTTTCAAAGATACAAAGATTTGATTAGTAAATTTGGCTGTACCTGTAGAAAACTGATTAAAAACGGTATTTCACATCCTACATTTTACGGTAATATTGTTCTTAAAGCGCGGAAATCACTATGTGATCCCTGTAAACTCATCGAACCTTTAAACAAAATTATTAGTAAAGGTTATCTTACCGTCATTGAGTCTTATGTAGACGAAACGCGCGTCTGGCGTATTAAATTATAATCCTGGTACCTTTGATAACTATTTACCAATGTTGTAATTAGATCTTTGAATATAGTTTACATTGGCACTAATATCGATTTTGTCATCCGTGATTTTAAAACATAACTAAATTTGTATTCTTTTCAAACGGGATGTATAAAGACACACCCACGTTCATTTTGATCTATAAAGAGGTTAACTCCTAACTATCCTACTGCCTGTCGATACATTTATTTTTGGCATTGCACAAGTCATGTCTTCTTTGACTGTCCATGACGTTAAAATACTAAATCCCTGGGTTGTGTTTTAGTTGATTTTAGTCTCTGATGCATGATTTTTTATTAATAATTGTTTTTGGCTTTTAACTAGCTGTCAGTAACTGCGAGTACTCTCAAATCGTACTTTCTTGTTTATTTGACCTGTTGATACTAATTGTAATGCTTTTTTATTATTTAATGTTTACTTATTCAGGGTTGTATCTGGTCTATATATCAGCTTTGATAAGTGTTTGGTATTACTATAAATTTTCACTTCTTCGTACTATGAACATCAAAATTATTTATTTTGTAAAAATATTTCCTTTCTCCATTTGAACTGTACACGTATACCTAACAACAAAATTATTTTCATTTACCTGTGTTTAAAGTAATTGCAAATGGCTGATATTTTTGTTCAAGCATGTTATTTTTCTTAAATTGTTTAACATTTCACAGCGGTATAACATGTTTCTTTAATTATTCTTCCCTTAGTTTATTTATTTTGTATTTACATTGTATCATAGATCAAATTCATTTGTTCATTGTATGTTCACTGGTGTTAATATGTCTTTTGATTAAGTTAAGCCATTTCAATTGATATTTTATAGTGTGTCTTTCTATGTTGTGATGTTACACTATTGTTTCAGATAAGGGTGAAGGTTTGGTACCATTAAAACGTTTAAACCCGCTGCAATTGTTTGCGTCTGTCCTTAGTCAGGAATCTGATGTTCAGTAGTTGTCGTTTGTTGATTTGGTTCATAAGTGTTTCTCGTTTCTCGTTTTTTATATAGATTAGACCGTTGGTTTTCCCGTTTGAATGGTTTTACACTAGTAATTTTTGGGGCCCTTTATAGCTTGCTGTTCGGTGTGAGCCAAGGCTCCGTGTTGAAGACCGTACTTTGACCTATAATGGTTTACTTTTATAAATTTTGACTTGGATGGAGAGTTGTCTCATTGGCACTCATACCACATCTTCTTATATCTATTGAGCAGATAAAGTTAGCTTTACAATATCTATATGAAAAAAAGAATTTTAGAGTATTTTGTGTACTTAATAGCTTCATCTTTGAGTGCATAGAACATTTAGCACTGCTTTATACAAATAATTCATCATATTTTTTTAGATGTTATTCATCAGTGTGACTTTGAAAACGACGAATGTAATTGGCGAAAATTGGACAAATCATCTGATAATTATTCATGGATTCGTCACCTAGGATACTCTGGATATAGCACAACAGGTCCAAAAACAGACCGTACCACAGGATCTGGTTGGTAGAACATATTTATTTAAACATTGTAAATACTACACGTAAAAATGAAAACAATACAGAAGTAATGTTGTTGTTCGTTAATTTGACCCTTAAATCAATTATGTTACTAGTATTGTTTACCCTTTTATCATTATAACAGCCCCCGTTCTTCAACGCTTGTTGAAGTATGAGGTATATAGTGCTGACCAAGTATCGTTTGTTTGTCTGTCTTACATTCATATCCAGTACATGCCTCCGGAAACGCTTGGGAATATTTCGTGGTATGTTCATACTTTGACATGACATTGTTTGACATCCGCAAACTGCAGTAAACATTTGTATCAACCTATCCTTCTAAATCCCTAGTTAGAATATAGTGAAACTTTTTAGAATCAAAACATAATGCCAAACCCTTACTTAGGGGAATTTCTCTTAATTTATCGTGGACCTTTATTGTTTTATCCTGGGGTACCCTTTTTGTATCTATAACTCTCCTAAACCCCTTTTTACTATTTTAATCAAACTTACTCAAAATATATCTCCAAAGTTAAAACAAAACTTTCTAAAAAATACTGAGTACTTTGCAATATCATAAATTACGTCAACATGTAGTAATAATTGTTGATCGGGTCTTGAAAGATTTTATTCCTAATCCTACATACTTCATATTTTCTTCTGCCCGGGACATTTCCAAATTGTATATCTCAATCTACTGAATAAAACCTCTGCGACATAATCAGACAACCAATCCGAATCAACATGTGTTAAGTACTGATCTCAAAATGGCGTGCATAACGAATGAAACTTAAATTTTCGCACCATGATGTGTAACAATTAAAAATATAATTTCTCCTTATCAATTAAAAATTAACTACATGAGCCTATTTAACAATATGAATTTGACGCGACCTTTTATAGGAAGGTTAACCAGTTAAGGCAAAATTATTTATAGATCGGATATCGAATATCCATAAAATACTCTATTTTTTGTGTTCAAATTTTTCGTGTTTCGATCGAGGATAGCACCCATTGGAAAAAAAATGTTTATTGATTTACTTACGTGTTGTGTTAGTTGTCTTTTTTTTTAGTTCATGGTTAGAACCATACTTTGTTGATTATACTAAATTATACGGTTAAATATTTACAAACATATATCTAATAATTATATTTGAACCTGAACTGAGTAGACGTATCAGTGAACAGACCTATTATATCTCGTATCTCATTTTATATCATATACATTAGTTTTGTAATTAGTATTACTATCATATAGTTAGTATGACTGGTGACGTATTATATTACAGGTAGGACTGGTGATATTATATTATTGGTATGGCTTGTGATATTGTATAGCTGGTATGACTAGTGATATTTAAAACATAGCAAACGTAAATGAATCGTGCACAATGCAAAATAATTAAGATAAAGGAATGGATGTTACAAGTATAAATATTAAACGTTTCGATTTTATCTTTCAGTGCTCATCCCAAAGTTTGAATCCATAAGCGAATATGAAGCAATAAATAATTGTTGATTGGATCTTGAATACCCGTTCTGTATTTTTACTTAATATATTATCTTCTACCGTTCGGTGCATGTTCCCAATTCCATATATTGCATTATAGCCAATAGAATTGAGGCCATAACATACGGCAGCCAATGAAAACCGAGAAATGCAATATATATCTTCGCACCTGATGCGAAGTTATAATGTTACTTGGGCTTTTTTTTTCTTATCTACATTATGTTAAGAGTTTTAAAACGCAAATTTATCATATTAGACTTTGACATTTCTTGAAAATGGAACATATGTATCATTTTGTGAGCATTTCTCACAAAATTTCTAGTCTGCTCTGTAAATATGGACATAACTTTAAATCAAAAGAGGGGCGAAAGATACCCGAGGGACATTCAAACTCATAAGTCGAAAATAAACTGACAACGCAATGACTAAAAAAGAAAAAGACAAACAGACAAACAATAGTACACAAAGCACAACATAGAACACTAAAGACTAAGCAACACGAACCCCACCAAAAACTGGGGGTGATCTCAGGTGCTCCGGAAGGGTAAGCAGATTCTGCTCCACAGGTGGCACCCGTCATGTTGCTCATATTAGTACAAACCCGGTAACAAGTCTAATCCGGTAGGTCACATTCGTGAAAAGGGGACAGGATTGTAGTTGCGACATTAGGAACATATGCGCTATCATCTGTGAAACGGATATTCCATAACGGTCAACCAACTCGTGATGGCGTCCGTAAAATTTACGAAGAGATGATTTCAACTTCACCGTTTGGAACTCTTGGTGTAATAGTTTCCTTGTGAGCAGCAACCCTCTATAAAGGAAATCATGATAGGAAGTACAAGCCAGGATTATCGTATCAGTTGGGAGATATATACTCCGTATGCAGGCGCTGCTGGAATGTTGCTACATAGAAATGGAAAGTTCACAATTGGGAAGCCGAAATCATCTCTTTTGTCGTAAAGTTTTGTTTTCAACCGACCCGCGTTGTCAATTTCTAGATGTAAGTCAAGATATGAGGCAGACTTAACTGTATCTGTTGTATCCTTTATCTCAAGTTCGATGGGATAGATAAGTTCAACATAGTCACCAAATTTTGAATTATTTAGTGAGAGAACATCATCTTTATAGCGGAAAGTAAAGTTAAAGGATACTGCTAACTTCTTTTCTTTCTTCCTAAGAAGCTTAATTTCCTGTATGAAGTCAGCCTCATAAGAATAAAAGAACAATTCGGAAAGAAGAGGGGCACAGTTGGTTCCCATGGGAATGCCGATTGTTTGTTGAAAAACACGTCCTCCAAAAGTAACAAATATGTTGTCAATCAAGAAATCAAGCATCTTGATAATGTCAGTTTCAGAGATTTTTTGTTTGAATCAGAGTGATTTTTTACAAAATAGGATTTATCCCTCCCTAAGACAAGATACTTGTATCTACGTTGGCCATTATTTTTTATGAAACAAAGCGATATCAACTCTTTCAATTTGTCTTTTAGTTTGGAATGGGGAAAGTGTAAAGTGTAGAAAAGTCAAATGTTTTAACACTATTGCAACATGAAAGAGTCTTAGATTGTATGTACTCTAAAAGATCTTTGGAATTTTTTAGTATCCACATCTGATTCACGCCACCTCTAGAATAGGCAGTTTCACAATACATTTGAAGCACGGCTTTGATTGCTGATAAAATTGAAATAAATCTGACCGGAAAGATGTTTGTGAGACTTCAATATTGGATAATTTATTATAAATAAGGGATTCGTAAACGGTAATCAACGCTCGACGTTAGTCGCTAGTTGATTATCGTTTTCGAATCCTCTACATTATATAAATTTTCAAGCTTTATCAAGTTACTTATTTCTTATATTATACCCACCTCTTCTTTTAAATGTTCTCGATTTACCCAGGTGAATTGACTGTATATTTTACGTTTTGACAATAAATCAAGGGAATTTCATGTACATAATTTTATATTTTGTCTATTTATTTCTGAAATAGTCATAAATGGTTGTACCCAAACGGTTCACACACATATATATATAGAGAGAGAGATTTTAACACTGCATCGAGTGTGATACGATATTTATCCACTTGAGACAGTTAAATCCAGCGCATGTGATTTTTTTTTCTGAAACTGGTTTCGATATTTTAACCTTTTGATTTTATTTTATTTACAGATCATGGCTACTATTTGTATTTAGATAGTACTAATGGCTCTTCTGGTGATATATCATATATACAAAGTCCTGTTTTAAAAGTAGTTTCTGAGACGTGCCTTTCATTCTGGTATAACATGTATGGTGATGAAATGGGGCGATTAAATGTGACTGCTAATGGAAAACTTGTTTGGACGCATTATGGTGACCATGGTGACACATGGATTAACAAATTGATAAATATTGATCTAATGGAAAACCTTACGATTGAGTTTATTGGTATATTTGGAACCGGTTATGAATGTGACATTGCATTGGATGACATAGCATTAACACCGGGATCATGCTCAGGTATATGTTTATACATGTATAGTATATATGTATATAGTCCTAGAATATAAATATTTTGGTCGGTTTGACACTTATAAAGTCAGTAATTTGAAGTCAGTGTCAACAGAAACAGGTGAAATCTTTACATGTAGTAGTTTGCGATTTGAAAAAAGCAATGAATGTATTAAAACGAAAACAGAAAAGGTGTAAATATTGACCTTTGTGTTGATATATAGACAGACAAACATGTACCATACCAAGAGTTAATAGGAGTAACGAACATGCCTTTACATAATTATTAAATGTAAAAACATATACATGTTTCATATGATTTTTGAATTAACATGGGAAATAACTTTAATGTTTCCGTAGAAAAAAAAAATTAAAAAAAATGAGATCTTTGTATCTCTCTTGAATTAAATCTGATAAATTTTCAAAAATATTACATCACTGTCAGTATCAATGTTAACATTTATATAATTTGTCTAAAACCTCTGGATATGTTGGGTCATAATGAAAAATTAGGACAATATATATTGACGTTTTAGAAATCATTTGCATTAATATGAATATGTACTATGCGTTTGATCTTACTTCCATAGGAGTAAATACAGATGCACAAACATGCGCTAATCTGAATAGAATTACAAATTTGGAAACCTGTCCAAAAGAGTATTTATATACGGAAGATATTAATTTATCATTTGAACCTGATAAAAAGATGTGTTCTGGATACAGTGACAGGATCACAGAATCATTTCTCCACAATTGTACTACCTTGAACAATAAATCAAGTTGTGAACTTAATTTGTCAGAGTACGTTCAACGTTTTCCTATATGTTTTCGGCTTCATGATTTGCTGATACAGTATAAATGTGAAGGTAAGTTAAATAAATGGGTAAGCGGTTCTTTGTTTTGCATACGCATTTTATTTATTTATTCTTTGACTTCTGCGATTAACAGGACATTGGCATAATATCAATATATTTCAGCAAACAGAAGTATGCAAGACATTATCAGATATATCGAAGCATTGATATAAAAATAAAGAAATGCAGTATAATGTAAATGAAATATATATCCATTAAAGATCAACTGATAAAAATGTGAACAATTACATGTCATTGTATAACCAATCACAGCCACTATTTGTTTTAAAAGATTTTTCACTGCATCAAATTTACCGTCCGATTTGCAGTATAACTTTTGCCTAGTGTATGCTACTGTTGTATGCACATTTAGTTATACGTCAGCGGGCTAATTTCTTAGTGATAGATGACATGATTTCATTATAATTAAAATACTTCATGCTGACATAAGTAGCATATTTTGATATAAATATTGTATGGTATCATGATACCTAATAAAAGCTGTCTGTTTTTTTGTGAATATGAATACATATGTTAATAACAAGTCTTAAAACTTAAAACATTTTAGTACGATTTTCGTAAACGTACATTCAAGATACTGGATTTGCTGTGTCAAGCTCAAATTGTGTCCTCTGTGCACAGTTTTATGACCGAAAATTTAGATACCAACACATAAAACAGTGAATACATATGGAAATGCATGAACGACAAAAGGAATTTAACTAGTTGCGTCGACAGAGTAAGATTCTACTGCTATGCATACACCGTATGGTTCCCTATAATTGCTTACATCCACTTCATTTAAACTTTGGTGGATAATTGTCTCACTGGCAATCAAACCACATCTCCTTATTTTTGTATAGCCCATCAATCAACTCATGAATATAAAATAGACCACACTGAGAACACACTCTTGCATACCATTTTAACTGACATTCGTATATAGTCAATAGGGTATTGCACACAATATGTTTTTACTTTGGACTGATAAACTCATAGTTCGAAATATGACATCATCAGAATTGTCATAGAATATAATTTCGAGTGGACCATCAGAGTCAATTTCAGAAAAAGAAAATCTTATAAACGTTTGCTTTTTAGTTACATGTAGTATCTGAATATCAAGTTCATCTAGACATATGAAATTAGGATGTGTACTAACTGAATACAAGATGATTAACAGATGTTTAACGTCGAATAGCAGTTAAAACATGCATATTTTAGACGATAACAAACTAACAATTAATAGTAATACAATAGGAAGGGCGGGAAATTTCGACTACCGCTGAAAAATGAGGACATGTTGGATAGAGGCGGAAATTTTACCTAGCTACAATCTACTTACAGACCCCTAAGAATATTGTAGTATGGGTTTTTTAACGTGCATAGAGCTTGACACTCTACTTGAACAAGACATCGGATTAACGTCCCTATCACGACCAGATGTTGCAGCATATTTATACCTTCAGTACTGTCCCACTTTAGTAAGGATTTTACTGCCGAACGGGAGAAGTCAGGGAAGAGCGGATTTCATCACATATGGAAAGAGAGACGAAAGATACCAAAGAGACTTTCAACCTCATAAATTGAAAAAGAACTGATGTTGTCATGACAAAAATGAAAAACGACCAAACGACAAACAACTGTATACAAAACACAACATATACAACTAAAGACTGAACAACATGAATGCCACCAAAAAATAGGGGTGGAATATTAGGAGAAAAAGATTAATACATCTTAAAGTGTAGTTTATGGATTTTTTCCAAGATGTTTTTCTTCTTAATATAAAAATAAGAAGATGTGGTATAATAGCCAATGAGACAACACTCCATCAGAGACCAAATGAAATGGAGGTTAACCACTCTAGGTCACGTTATGAGTGCCAGTTTGTAAGAATCTGGCAATTTTGAAAAAAATCAAAACATGGCCAAAAAAAAACCCACAGACCTAACCATCCTATTTGAAGATACCCTCATCCTGAGTTAGAAATGAAAGGTCTTTTGTTTCTGCGTGTCTGGTAATTCGAGAAATATTTAGATACATTTTGGTTGGAAAAATAGCAAATTACGGAGTTATCTCCCCTTAATTGTTATTTTCTAGTACATTTCCACCTAATTATATCTTGAATTACCAGAACAGGGAAAGGAACGAATGTTATATTCATGCACCATTATACATTTTGAACCTAAATAAACATAAAGTTGAGCGGGTTTTTGTTTGTCATGTTTTCACCACTGCCTGATTCTTAGGAAGATTGGCACTTTAAAAGCTTACTTTCATGACTGTTTTGTATAGTTCTTGTCTAATATGAGTAAAATGTGTGCTAGCAGGAACATATAGTTACTACTCATTTTAGTATCAAATTTCTGTTGGAATACATATACATTAAACTTTAAAAATATATATGTTATTGATCAAAAAGTCTAACATGTTGATGAGCTCTCAGACTGCTTGATGGATTTAAATTCAAATTAGAATATATCTTTGCATTATAAAAAAGGTTCATCCCACCTTAGATAAAAAGAAGGAATCTGCTTGTTAATAGTACTTTTATATAGAAAACATAGTTTTATGATAAGACGTAGATGATCATTTACGTTAGAATGAAAAAAAAACAAAGCAGACGGCAGAACAGTCGAACATTTTGATATTGTCAAATTTAAATGAAACTAAAAGACATGTTTAACATGTTCAATATACTATGATTTACTAGACGTTTAAGTTGCACCAATATAAAAAAAAAATATGAAAAAAACAATCGAACTCAAACGTAAACTCAAAAAGAGGAAAGTCCAAAAACCAACTGTTAAACTATACCAACATGATCAACCGACGTAACGAATGGAAAACAATTTTCATATTTTAACTAGGTGCAGGAATTTTCCGATGAAAATGGTTAGTTTAAACTGGTTGTATAGCTAGCTGAACCTCCCACTTGCGGACATACAACATCAGAACTAAAAAATTCAAACAAACATACAAACAAATTGGACAGAGACGATAGCAAAAAATTTGTAATTGATAGTAAATCAGACAAAAACGCCAACAAAAACAGTTTTTGTAGTTGATAATACATACATTATATTAAATAAAAATGAAAACAACACTATAAAACCTTATGCGTCCGAATCGCACTTCTGTATTCACCTGTACCAGGAACGCCAAAATAGGAATCTATATAGATAGATGCACAAATATCACGTCAGGATTCATACAATCGAAAGGAAAATAATAATACAAAGACAAATAAAGTGAAAACTATTAAGTAAATAAAATGATACACAACTTCAGCACATAGAATGTTTATAACACAAGACCATCTTGTTTTATTTTTGAAGAAGACATTGAGTATTATCTAACATATTTTCTTTTCAAATGTCAAAACATAGAATTGTTTGGTGTTTTATCCATATTTATATGCCTAAAACATCTTGGGTGTAAGCTTATACTAAAATTATGTACTATCCTCCTTTGACTGGAGTATTCTTGCGAATTACATTTGACCCCTACTCATTTGTAGTTATACTAGTAAAATTCAAAAGTTAGGTCTCTATGAGATGGAACATGGAGAACATATCTGGGAACCAGTAGGTAGACAAAACAAAATATCTATAAGTATCAAGTATCTCCCAAAAAAAGGCGTGGTTTGTGAATCGGCTTTATTAACGATGTGCAATCTGTATTCAAGAAACACATGTCGTGAGCCATTTAAATAGTATCATACTTTTATTTTACGATCTTTTAAATGTTTTACATACATGTGTATATGCGATTTTCACGTATCTATAAACATGGTAAAGGCAAACTGAATACAAATGATGCTTTTATCACCAGTGACGATCGAATCAAAAAAATATAGAAGGTCAAATAAAGTACGAAGTTGAGGAGCAAATACTTAACATATATTTTGTTTCCTTTTAAAGTTGAAGAAACAACAGTTCCTTTACTGTCTACATCAGAAGCCCTATCGGAAGGTACGGTATAAAACATATAACAATGTTCTTGAATTATAAAATGGATGAAGCTAAAATGTACATAAACGATTTGTATAACTCATCCCATTTCAACTACTTTACTTCGATTAGCTGATGTAACTGGCATATTAAGAGACATATGAATTTGTACAACACAGCTTACTTATGTTATGAATGATTAAAGTAGTAGGTTATAAGTGTGCATAACTCATTTCTATTACAAATTTGAGCAAAATAGACTATATCTAATGACTTTTATTGAAGCTATCTAAACCATAGGGTGAAAAGCTGTTCTCGTCGTCTCTGAATTGGCCAAACTAGAAAACCTTAAAATAAGTATATCATATCGGTATGTCGGTAACTCTCATAATACACGTGTAATAGTAGCTGCATAGGTTTTGCCATGTTAAGTTACCTAGACATTTAACAGTAAGGATATTATTTGAAGACTACAAAAATATAATAGAATTGATGCTGCGACATCGAAAATATCATGTAATTCCGAAGGATAAGTACATTAGTATCTCCTCCTTCGCCTGCAACACATGTCGTAATATCAATTACGATTTGACTGAATTGAAATATCTTGTCATATTTTGCACAAAAAACAATGGTACTATGTCCAGTGTACTTTGATTAAACTTCATAAACAACGGTCGTGACAAAAAAGTTTATAAAAATCTAAAGTCTGTGATGTATTTAAGGTTTTGATCTAGATCATCTGTGATGAAGGTTATTCCTGAAACACGTGATATGCGCACTAAGGTTTCATACGTTTTTCTTAAATTAAATACAATCTTTTACCTCTGTCACATTTCACAAGCGAAATGTAAACATTTATAAAGTACTCGGAGATGCGACGAGGACGCTGAAGTGCGATGGTCACGCTGAAGTGCAATGATCTGCGCAGAAGTGCGATGGTCCTTTCCTGATGAACGGATTTTTTTAGTAAGAATATAAATACCAAACATTCAATATCTTCTCCAGTTTAATATAAAAAAAACCAAAACCATCCACGCTGATATATCTAGTTCCTTGATCTTATTCACAGCAGCCGTATAAATTTTCCGCTACATGTACCACATTTTTTAGTCATTGCAATTTGTACTGGTTTTATGGAAAATGACCTATGTATGTAGCGTCTATAGTGGTCAATATCTAAATGATTGTATGAACTACTGCTTTTTTGTTTTAAGCTTTGTACACTACAATGCTACATTTGGGACTGGAAATGCAACGACTAGCTATTATGACCGTTAACGGGTTATACTCTCTGTGTTTTATGTTTAAAAAAATCTTAAAAGCTATTTCTAACAAACAAATTGACTTCTACATCGATATGTGAACATGAAAAAAAAACATTGAAAATATCATTTATGTAAACCATCGCACTATAGCGTTACCACGATCGCACATATGCGTAGCTATCAACAATTACAATGCCACCATCGCACTTCAGGGCCAATTCATCGCTATTCAGGTAATTATCGCAGTTCAGAGTTCTACGTATATATGTAAACACTAAACCGAATCTCAGGAAAAGCGTCGGCAAGAAGAGGATTACAGTTGTTTCTAATGGGAATGCCTATTGCTTGTTGCAAAATACGTCCCACAAACGTAACAAATATGTTGTCAATCAAGCATCTTGATGATGTCAGTTCCAGAGAGTTTTTGGTTTGAATCAGAGTGACTTTTTACAGAATACAATTTATCCCTCCATAAGACAAGATACTTGAATCTTCGTTGGACATTCTCTTTTTTGAAACAATGCAGGACCAACTCTTTAATTTTGTCTTTTAGTTTGGAAATGGGAATGCTTGTTTAAAGTGTAGAAAAGTCAATTGTGTAATTACAATTTCAAAATGAAAGAGTCTTAGATTGTATGTACTCAAAAAGTACTTTTAGAAAAAAAGAATTTTATACATGTTATAGTATTCACATCTGATTCACGCCACCTCTAGAATAGGTAGTTTCACAATAACTTTGAATCCCGGCTTTGATTGCTGATAAAATTGATGTTTATAATTTAAAAAGAGGTTCCGTGGAGCATTTGGAAGACATATCAATATAAAGTTGTTTGTAAGGACACTTATGTGATTTAGGCATCAAATACAGTGAAGGATAATCCGGTTCTTCGTCTTTGTTTGAAATTCCAAAGGAACATAGAACAGACCTATGATTAGAGTTACCAAATGAATTGTCAATACTAATTAATTTATCAAACAGTTTATGATATGTGATTTGCACACAAAACGATGTTGTTTGGGGCTTTATCTGCGGGGAAAACAACATATTTATGATGAAGATAGGACAGGTGTTTGCAACATTTGGGTTTTTTAAGATTGATCTAGCATATGTATTCATAGACCTTTTCAGTTTTTCTAATTATAATTTGTTTCAATGACCTCACAGCCTTAATCCACCCGGAAAGAGTATCATAGTCTTCTTTTTCGCGTTTAACCTATTGCCTGGCATAATCCTCGATTGAATCCATAAGTATTGTGAAGTTGTGTTTCCAATTGATGAATTAAGGCTCACGATATTTCGGGCCTTTGGATAACACTTTACGCAGAGAAGTGTTATTGACAATGTTCAGGTCACCAGTAATAACGTAGCCAGTGGGATTATAGATGAATGGGAAACTAGCATAGGTGCAGTCAGGAGATTTAGACTTGAAGTCGTCAATATCGAGATCCTGTAACACGTGTTTGTAATTGAAAATCTTAATTGCAATTGGTTTGGTATAGGTACGAGAAGAGATAGGTACAGACTGATCTTTCAAATAGGAAAGGATTTTCGAGTGAACTGATTTATGATGAAGGATATTGCCCGAGTTTATGGCATCGAAACCTTTGTTGGCAAAGGAAAGTTGTAAAAAGAATCTTTTCTCCTTTTCATCTTTTCCTATACGAACTGGTTTAAAAAGTTTGTTACTGGCAATATCCGTGATGTTAGCTGAGTTTGTAATGGTTTGAATGGGGGTTTGTAACCGTGGTTTCCCAACATAAGAAGTACAGATAATGACATTTTGAAAGCGGTAGTGAAAATTAAAACAACCAAAATACCGAACCCCAATGAAAATTCAAAACAGAAAGTCCCTTATCAAATGGCAAAATCAAAAGCTCAAACACATCAAATGAATGGAATACAACTGTCATATTCCTGACTTGGTATAGCCATTTTCTTATGTAGAAAAGGGTGGATTGAACCTGGTTTTATCTCTAGCTAAACTTCTCACTTGTGTGACAGTTGCATAAAATTTCATTATATTGACAACAATGTGTTAGCAAAACAAACACCTGTTCGCTATGCCCGTGTCTGTAGTGACGTTTTGGATTTTAATGAGCGTAATCTATGTATTAATTATTAAGGCAGGGATTTCGTTACCACAAATTACTTAAAACCTTTACTAAATTCTTCGATAGATACAAACATTTGGTTTGCAAGTTTTTTTGTATCTGTACACAACTTATTTGAAACGGAATAGCACATCCTAATGTTTACGGGAATGTTGTTTAACGAGCCCAGAAATTTAGATACGCTCTGGGTACACTTAACAATCCTTTAAATAAACTTATTCTTAAAGTTACTAATTCAACACTGTAATAAGATCTTTGAATATTGCTTTATCGGTATACACATTGAAATAGATCAGTAGATTAAAACCATGCTAAATACTATTGTTATACCCATATGCACATTCACTGTACTACTATATGTCGATACCTATATTTTGGCATTGCTCAAGGTCATGTCTTTCCCCGACTGTTAATGACGTCTTTACACTAAAAAGTTAAATAACAAAAATACCGAACTCCATGGAAAATTTAAAATGGATGTTGGATGTGTACTGATGGATATTTTAACCGTAGGTTCATGATTTGTTTATTAGTTGTTATTGGCTTTGTACTAGGTTTCAGTAACTGCGAGTACTTGCAGATCTGTACTTGTGTTTTTTTTTTGTTGTGGGATGTATAGATACACTTCAACGTCAGGTCTGTGTTTTCGTTAGATGTTTTCTGCTTTATATCGATCTGATGAATTAAGCTCTTTTTTACTGATTTTCAGTTTGTTCTTCTACTGTACTGTTACACCACTGTCCCATGTTAAAAGGAGGATTTTGCGCCAGCAAACTAGTTTAACTCCACCACATTCTGTATGTGCCTATCCCAAATGAGGAGCCTGTAGTTCAGATATAATGAGTTCAGTGGTTGTCGTTGATTTATATCTGTCATAATAGTTTTTCGTAAATTGTTTTGTTATAAATTAGGCCGTTCGTTTTCCTAATTGAATTGTTTCATATTTTTATATGTCGGGGCCTTTTAAAGCCGACTATACGATATGCGTTTTTTTGTTGTTGAAGGCCGTACGGTTGCCTATAGTTGATAACATCCACGTCATTTGAACTTTGCTGGATAGTTGTCTCATTGGCAATCATACCACTTCTTCTTATTTTCAAATAGTCATAATAAGAAAAAGTGTCAAAAATTGTAGTGAATAAAGTTTCGTGCGAATATGATGATTATCCACCAGCTTTTGTATAATTAACTTATAGCTGTTTATAAGAATGTCATCACAAAGTTTACTTTTGTTTAGGTTATGACTGCGCCTTTCTGTACTAAAATTAACGGTGTTATTTCAAATAAAACCATTCTAAAAGACAGGCGAAAGATACCAAAGGGACATTCAAACTTATAAGTCGAAAATAAACTGACAACACAATGGCTAAAAAAGAAAAAGACCAACACAAACATACAAACAATAGTACACAAAACACAATATAGAAAACTAGAGATTGAGCAACAATAACCCCAGCAATTGAAATAAAATGTCATGAATAGTACGCTACGGAATCAAACTCAGGTAAATTAATACATTGTAATCTCACTTTAATAATAATCAGGAGAAAAATAAAGGCATCCTACCCGCATAGGTATTTTCGATGATATAGATGTAATGACAATTATCTGAATACCGGTACAAGACTTGCTAAAATGTTGAAGAGGGTTAGTAAATATCTATTTCGAAATTGAGCATAGATACAAGTGAGACATGCTGACTTTTGGTCTCTTCTAGGCAATCGAAAAATTCCAAATTAAATGTCAGACAGTTATACAAAATAATAACTTTGATCCTGGTTGGTTGGGAAGAAGTTAGTAGTTAAACAAGGATTCAGTAAAGGCTAACATTTTAAAATTAAAGAGTTGAATATTAGATGTGCGATTCAAGAATATGGGCTTTGCTCGTTGTTGAAGGCCGTACGGTGACCTATAGTTGTTAATTTCTGTGTCATTTGGTCTCATGTGGAGAGTTGTCTCATTGGCAATCATACCACATCTTCTTATTTTTATATTGAACTGATGAATCAATAATCGAGAAAGTATGTATGTTCATTAATAATTAGCCTATACAACAAATTTATAACAAAAAAATAATGACATAATTTTGCTGTCTTTTTTGTTGTCCTAGAAACTAGCACTGAACCAATTGCATCAAAAGTAAAGAAGAAATCCGAGAATTTAAATTACACAGGTAAAGGAAAATGATTACTTGTATTTTGTCGTTAAAAGAGAGGTGAACCAATTGCATCAAAAGTATAGAAGAAATCCGAGAATTTAAATTACACAGGTACAGGAAAATGATTACTAGTATTTTGTCGTTAAAAGAGAGGTGAAATATACCAAACGTATATTCAAACTCATAAGTCTGACACGAACTGACAATGCCATGGCAAAAAAAAAAAAACGACGTAAAGGCAAACATCAGTACCAAAACATAACATAGAAAAATAAAAGACTGAGCAACATGACCCCCCCCCCCCCAAAAAAAAAAACAAAAAAAAACAAACAAAAAAAACACACAAAAAACAAAACAAAAAAAAACAGGGGTGCTCCGAAAAGGTTAACAGATCCTGCTCCACATTTGACACCCGTTGTGTTGCTCATGTAAGTACAAACCCGGAAATAAGTCTAATTCGGTAGGTCACATTCGAGAAAAAGAAGACGTGATTATGTTTACAACAATTCGAACATATTCGTCGATCTGTGAAACAGATATTTAATAACGGTCAACCAACTCTCGTGTCTGTAGGCCTAGAAGCCATATAATTAAACATCGATATGACCTCTGAAGAATTCTATTGGAATATTGAACTATGACCCGATATAACATAATATATCTTTAAATACACAAACAAGCACGTGCCATTTTTTCATGGTATAATGACAATTTTTCTAGGTCCGTTTGATTTTATGTCATATATTACAAACATACGTATCATCGTGTTTAACTGTATAAGGATATTTGTTGTGGGTCGAATCAGTCAACAAAATCATTCTTCACGGTTGCTCCTTTTTTGACTTTTCAATGTTGACATTCCGATCTCTTAACTACTGAACATGATTAGCATCTTTCGTAATCCATCTCCAACTATGGATCAAACTGATGGTCGCATGCGAACGGATTCAAATGATTCATATATATGTCCGATTGTTATGCAATTTATATAATATTTATATTAAAATACAAAATCTTTCAACAGAGTAAGAATGGGAAAATGAAACATCACAGCAATCCCAAAGTTTCAAGGACAAACATTTCACTTATCAGTGCAGCATGAATAAACATAAATGAGAAACTACTCTTTATCTCATCGGAACAAATTTGTTCTTGTAACGTGTTCTTCGTGTTTGATATATTGTTCGTATGCGTCTTTGCTGATATTAGAGTCTCCAGTATCAAACGTAATATTAAATAAATAGTTGGCACTTAGAATGTTAATGACAACCATTTTACCCTATTTCCACTTCTATCAAAAGACTGACACAAATATTCAAAACAGTAATATTCATAGAAAATCAAATTCAGAATTGAACCATACGTTTTCCTTGTATTGAAAACCACCTCAAAGCTGAAAAATAGCTTCATTGATAAGAAAATCTCAAATTAATTCTAATTGATAGGTAACAAATAGTAAATTCCTTTAAAAGATTATATCCAAGCTCACTAAGTACACTATACAAACTTAAAAAAAACAAAAACAGTGCATATATCAACCTGAGACATAATGCATCTAAAACTGATGCATTAGTGAATCACAAATCATTTTTTCTAGCTTCATGTGTTGTGACCATCTTAGGAATGTTCACTCTATGTACAAACACGTATGTTCATGAGACTTTCGGAATTCAGGAACTTTTCAATAGTTGCTGATGTTATATCTGAATTTGTTTTTGGTGTAATATAAGGAATTTGGTGATGGTGACAGATCTTCGATATCGTGTTTCAACATTTTAAAGCTCGATTTAAAGATTACCATATTGCACTGACACTTAACTTTGTGAAGGTCGTATGTTAAAATCTAGATATATTTCGGAATTTTACGTGATGTTGGGTTGCTCTTGTGTTGACTAATACTTAACATCTCTTTTGATTAATATTACAAATAGTGTAAACAATCCACTAGTAACGAATATTTATCTGAAACGGTCATTTTGACCCGAACAGCTTTTTACAGGCTGAACAATAAATTATTACGTCATTTTCAGTCTTTCAGTCAATTATTAGACTTATCCGCTACGTTGAATTCAGCACGGTTCAGACAATCCGCCTGTAGTCTGTTCAGTAGTTGTTATTTACATCTACACATACTCATCATACTGAGTTGTCCGAAAACACTGAACAGTTTTGAATTGACTGCAAGCGAATTGTCCACTGAATTAATCTCAGAAGACAAGTCTGAAAGTGGACGGGAATACTGCACATAACTTGATAATTAAATGGTCAGACTTTTCAGATTATGCTAAGATCGAAATGACCGTTAAAGACTAAAAATCCTTTTATCAAGCATGAAGATTCTTGAATAGCACATCTTATATTCAACTCTGTTGTAACAAAGCCCTATGTCTCAACTGCTTACATTTTAAATTTAAGCCTTTACTAAATCCTTGTTTAACTACTAACTTCTTCCCAACCAATCAGGATCAACCGTCAACTTCACAGTAAAGTGAAAATGTTACTTGAATCTTCATACAATGCACGTATTTACTGTAACTTTCAATCAAAAACGTTTCAAACTAAACTTTCATTTTACAGAACAAAATCAAATGTGACACTCAACCTTATCCTACGCACAAACCTGAATTTTACTCCCAACTTTGAAGTGCAAACGTGTGTGTTGCCTTAAAAAATATACTTTAATTGCAATCAATTAAATTCCATTTTCCACTATATTGATTATGACCTTTTTCTGAAATTTTGTGACTATGTTGGCTGCATCTATTCTATGAACTTGAAATAAAGGATAGCACAGATACGGATACGGTCAAGCGTATCTCATATCTTGACTTTCATCTTGACATTGACAACGAGGGATGGTTAAAAAATCAATTTTACGACAAAAGAGATGATTTCATTTTCCAATTGTGAACTGTCCATTTTTGTGTAGCAATATTCCAGCATACCCTGTATACTGAGTATATATCTACTAGTTGATACGATATTCTAGGGCTTGCGTTTTCTATCATAATATTTGATAAAGGGTTAATGCTTACAAGGAAGCTATTGCATTAAGCGTTTCTAATGTTAAAGAAGGAGTCATCCATTTGAACAATTTACAGACACCGTTATGGTTTGATTGACCCTTATGGAATATCTGTGTCACATATGACTACGGATGTATTCCAGTTGTCGTAATTATAATGTTGCATGTAGAGCAGGAACTGGTTACACTTCTGGAGCACCCGAGTTCACTCCTTGTTTTTGGATGGGTTAGAGTTGCTCAGTCTTTAGTTTTCTGTGTAATGGTTGTTCTTTTGTGGCCATGGTATTGTCTTTATTGGACGTAATATTTTCGAATGCCCATTGTTATCTTTAGTCTCTCATTTCAATTAACCCCAAGAATTAACCACAAGAATTCAACTTTAACACCAGGCTTTAAACTTTAAATCCAAACTAAGTATATGAACATGAAACACATTGTTTTGAATCACGGACGTCCCCGGACAATGACCGCTAATTTGTTAGAGGTATTACGTCTACACATAAGGACATTACAGTTACGGTATGTTGCAACCATGATATTGCAGTTGAAAACTAGAGCTGAATGTACAAATAATATAATATATATATATATATATATATATATATAGAATAATGGCATTGTTTTAATACTGACGTTATCAGCAAGAGAATAAAGCGAGCTCATTAGGGTGAGCTGATATTCGAGTTGATGAAGACAGTATCGAAAAATAAAATGCCATTATCCTTTTATCGGCAATTTGTCTTAACTGTAGATTTTTTGGTTGAGGATATGAAATAAAATGAAATAGTTAGTAAAACTACTTTTACGAGTACAAAAAGTTGAGATAGTTGTTTGGTTGTATGAATGAAGTCGCGTGCATTTCATTGATAAATTGAGGCAGATAGAAGAGCACGTGACGTTGCTGCACTGATAGATGACGTCATTTCCTAATATTTTCGAGTATCAAGATCTGTCCATGACCTTTAAAGTATTAGGCAGGAAGATCAAAGGGAAAATGTACAAATTGCCGATAAAATACAATACTGCATACACTTAATATTATATAAAAAAATCTTCGTTCTTAAAGAAAGCAACGTATACCTAGAAGGTACGACAGGAAGCTGCTGCGAAAAAATGTGACAGTTGGGGTATACAAAAAATACACAAACTTTAAAAGTTACTAACTTGCAACTGGTACATTACTGAGACGTGTTTTTTTAGTACTCTACCCTACTCCTATCATCTAGATCTCAATTAGTAGAAATATCCAAAAATACATTGATATAAAAGACCGCAATGAGATTATTTCGTGATGAAGCACATACTAATATCGATATTGCAGATAAAAAAACAACACAGTTGCATGTACAAGTTGTATCCTACAATGCTGCATATACTAATTAATATGGTATCAACACTCTTCTTTAAAAAGCAAACTCAAAGTACTTTTATTATGTGCATTGTGCTTGACTTTTACATCTAATAGTTCAAATTTCCATATTTCTTTCAAACATCAACGTAGGATATAACATTGAATTTAAAAAATGTATCTTTTTAGGTAAAATATTTCAACTTTTAATAAATTGTTTTCTTATTTGCAGGTCTGGTTGTTGGACTAGTCATGGGTTCGTTAGTGCTTGTGTTGATTGTAGTTGTGATAGCTATTTTCATCAGGAGGTATGTAAGATTAATTAAACAGAAGTGGATGCTTGTGAATTTTAATTGGGTTTACTAGATTGTTGGGTCTTGATGTCATCCCAATTTATCTAGAATTCATTGTTTTAAATTACACAGTAAAACTTACTTGTGCTTTTGTCCGACTGATGCAAGAAAGTACCTTATACTGTGCATGTAAACAGACAACTGGTAAAAAGATAAAGCGTCTTTGAATTGCAAATTTGATTTTTATTATTCCTAAATCTATGCAAAGATGTTCATTGGCTGTTACCGAAATCAAACCTACACAAAGCTTTTATTTCAATTTTTGCTTCATAAACACATACTCTTTGAAATTGAAGATCACCGTGGAGTAACAATAATCTACCATTCATTTTATGACAGAGATTTTAGATTCCTTAAGTTTCGCTGTCAATATAGAGTAAAGGAAATGTGTGGTATTCACCACTGAGAAAGAGACTTGACATGACCTCCACATTTTACACCGATATGAACATAAATAAATCAATTTACACTGATAAATATAAATAGCACGTACAATAGTACAATGACGATTTAACGGTTTGATTTTATATCATAAATAGATAAAAATGTACATCATCGTTTCAATTTTAACCGGTGTAAGAATGATTTATTTGTGGACCGAAACAGTTTGCCTATCGGATCGCAGTTTTACTTTTTCGTCTGACATTCTTTTCAATAACTGAACATGCCAAGCACATGTACAATCATCTCCAACTATTTTTTTACCAGTAAATAATGTATAATTAGCGATGGTCCTGTTTTTATTTTGACAAAATTGAACCAAATCAATGTTAATAATGAATTAAAAGACATTCTGTTCCTGTAAAAGAGAGAAAAACGATACCAAAGGGACATTAAGACTCATAAGTCGAAAACAAACTGAAAACGCCATGGCAAAAATTGAAAAACAGACAAAAGACAAACAAAAGAAAAATGTATGAAAAAAGACTACTTGGTTTCCTCCTCTTTACAATGACGTAGTCGTACGTAGCTAATGGCGTTTTTTCCCCCTAATTATAAAGAGTGGCATACCTAAAGCTACTATTCTTTTTTTTCCAAACAGGGAAAAAAATATCCACGATCGTGCATTTAAAACAACTCAGCATTACACTTCAACTGGGTGAATAATATGAATGAGGTATGAAAAAAATCTTGACCGTTGCCATGAATATTTTTTTGTTTGATGTTTTTTTTTTTGTATCGATCTGAAGGGTTAAGCCTTTTTCAACTGATTTTTTATAGTTTGTTCTTCTGTTGTCCTGTTACACCACTGTTCCAGGTTAGGGGAGGATTGAGCATTCACAAACATTTCACTTCTGTTCTCGTACTATGAACAACAAATTTATTTATTTTGTAAAAAAATATTTCCGTACTCCTAACAAGAAAATTATTATATTTGAATTTACCTGTGTACGTTATTTTATTTAACGCCATTTTGTCCAAGGTTATAGTTGTCTTTATGACATTGTTTTACATCCCCTCTTTTTTATTTAACATTGTATTTATATTGTGTCATAGATCAAACTTATTCGTTCAGTATATGTTTACTTGTTTTTGTTGATATGTCTTTTTGATTGAGTTAAGCCATTTCAATTGATATTTTATAGTGTGTCTTTCTATGTTGTAATGTTACACTACTATTTCAGGTTTGGATGAAGGTTGGCGCCTGTTAAAACGTTTAAACCCGCTGCATTTGTTTGCACCTGTCCTAAGACAGGAACCTGTTGTTCAGTGGTTGTCGTTTAATGATGTGGTTCTTAAGTGTTTCTCGTTTCTCTTTTTTTATATAAATTAGACCGTTGTTTTTCCTGTTTGAAATGTTTTACACTAGTCATTTTGGGGCCCTTTATAGTTTGCTGTTTGGTGTGAGATAGGGCTCCATGTTGAAGGCCGTACTTTGAATTATAATCGTTTACTTTTTACACATAGTGACTTGGATGGAGCGTTGTCTCATCTGCACTCATACCACATCTTCTTATTCCTATTAACCCCGTCACATGTTTTATGTGCCTGCCAGGAGCCTGTAGCTCAATGGTTGTCGTTGGTTCATGTCTGTCATATTTGTTTTTCGTTAATTGTTTTGTTATAAATTAGGCCGTTAGCTTTCTCAATTGAATTGTTTCATATTTTTCATGTCGGAGCCTTTTGTAGCCGACTATACAGTACGGGTTTGTCTCATTGTTGAAAGCCGTACAGTTGCTTACATCCACTTCATTTTAACTTTTGTGGATAGTTGTCTCATTGGCAATCATACCACATCTCCTTATTTTTATAATGGCAATCATATCACATTTCCTTATTTTTATAATGGCAATCATAACACATCTCCTTTTTTTATAACAATAACACCATCAGTGTCTTAGAAAAATCTAAAAACTTATTTCAATGTCTCGACTTTTCAACTTTCAAGATTCTATTTGCCAATTATCAATCAACTGACTTCTAACAAAAATTGTTTCCTTTCGCCAGTTGTAAACTTGTTTTATACCTGGCAACATGAGACTGCTTCCAATATTGTCCAATGCATAGTATAATAAGTTGAAAATTATATTTAGGTGTTTCACCAGTTTTTGATGAAAATAACGATTGATTCATGAAAAATAAAAGGTGGTGTTGCACAAGGAGCTGTACTAGTTCTTTTGTTGTTTGTATTTTATATCAATGATATTGCTGATGATACTTTAACGCATCTGTCAACAAACACAAATATAGGTCGTTAAAAATTCGATTTATAAAAAAATCTCCATTGAGGTAATAATTGTTTAAACTATTCATAAAAAAATGAACTGAATATAGGATATTTTCTAATACTAATTATCAGTGAATGGATAAACCTTGTATTGTTTTTAATAAACATGATGTTCAGTGTTTTGAAACACATTAACATCTAGAAGTGACTTTCAGCTTAAATTGTACATGTGTCACATTCAAAATAATGTCAACAGCACATCCACTCAGCTATTGAACTGAAATTTACCCTCAACAAACAGAACCTGTATTTTACCAGTGTTTTACAAATGTTAGAATATCCCTATTTCAATCGTTGACGGTTTTACTCAAGAAATTATTAAAAAATAATGAACGTGTACAACATGAGGCAGCAAGAAAAGTATTGGGTCTACCAAAACATACAAGCTTAGAGACACTACAATTGTACTTTTTTATGGTGACCTTTGCAATTACGAGAACATATTTGTTTTACCAAACTGATAATTTAAATTGTATAGAGCATTTACATTGATGCATTGTTAGTGATTATCGACAACGTTTTATTATATTACAGCCATTCTAAAACGTATTTTTCCTACTCGATCAGACTTAACAATCTAGACCCTGTTGTCCGCGACCTCCCCACGATTCAAAGATTTAAAAGAGCAAATTGATTCAATATATATTATAAAACCCCTTTTATTATTCTGTTGGTTGCAGATTACTAAATGTTCTTGATACCAAACTATGGCATAGATATAGCTCATTTAATGCTGATCAAAACCGTTTTAATTTTGTGAACGATCCAGACTCTGTCCGTAGATAGGTAATTGAAGAATCATCAATTTAATTCATTGAATGATCTTTAAAAATGCAATGGCACGTGAACAGCTGAAAATTAGTTTAAACTTTCTAAGGGATTTAAAAATTGAAACTTTTCTTTTTGGAGATGATACTTTGTCTGAAAATTGAAATGTCACAATATTCATGATATTAGAATCGGCTCAATTGTACATCAATTAACAAAACATTTGTTTTAACAGAAACTGACCACAAAACATACTTCATTTTCGTTATATTTTTATTCTTTTACTCTTTTTTTTTCTAGCCCTTTCTCTCTGTTTGATCCTTTTCCTTTTTGGTTGTCATTTTTGTTCTTTTTTTTCCATTTTTGGAAATTTAATATAGTAGACAACTCCATCTTTCAGTTAGGTTATTCATTTCCATTTTATTTCATACACTTTTGTTTGTTTAAGATATTTCTTTATATATTTATTGCTTATTCATGTGTATTATTAAGTTGGATGATTAACTGAAGAGGAACAATTAGTATCCGATTCTTGTGTGTTTTTTGCAATAAAATATGTTGAAACTAAACGCTGTTTCCTATTTACATGTTTCATATTAAAAATTGATTGCGTTTTTAGTCTTGTTAAAGTAATCATTGTTTCGTACACTTCTGTTGATTTTTAATACTTTTGTCCTTGTTCACATTAGCTGTGGGACTCGTTTAGTATACATATATAGGTATATTATATTAGAAAAAAAGTAACGGTTAAATATTTCTGGATTAGCTCTGACGTACATGTAGTAATAACATTATACTTTTTGTTATTTCAGATTTTCATCCGTAAAGAACAAATTAGAAAAGGTTGACAGACTTCAAGGAAATGACTATATTGGTCAGCAAAATATAGCTATGCCACAGTCTTTAGGTCCAACTGAGCATTTGCAATACAAAGATATACAATCTGAAAGAAATAATAGGAATCATGGCTATGTGAATGCTGGTACACCTATTCAAAATAACGATTCCCAGTATAATTATTCCAATATAACTACGACAAACTCTAATGTGAATAAGAGCGTAAAGGACAATGATCTTACAAATGTTGCACTTCAGGAAGATGTACCCCGAGCTAAATATGTAATGAATGACGATGAGTATGCAATTGTCGATCCAACAGCAAAAACAAGCATTTATCTTTCCAAAGAAGATAAAACCATGGCTACAGAAAATTATATGGTTTTAGATCCCAACGAAATGGGTTTTGACAGGTCAAATTTTTCCCACAAAAACCAACCTTATGAGCTTGCTAAGCCAGTCAGTGACAAGTATACAGATGACGAAAATGATCGGTATGCTGTGTCTCAAGAAGGAACGTACGACTATTCTGGAAGTAACCGTCTAAATGAATTAGAGGATAACATTTATAACCATGCTGTCGATGATGTTTATGATTCTGGAAGTCTCAAAAGAACAAATGAAGGGAAAGATGACACATATGATCATTTCTTTGGACACACAACGGAGGATGACTATGATATATCAAGAAAGACCTGAGCTGGTTCATGAAATATTATCTGTTTTGTACAATTAAGTTATCAGTTTGATTTTGTTTCATTTGACCTAATGCAGTTTATAGCAAAATTCTATTCACAGTTAAGTAAGTGCTGATCAATTGAGGGCAATATATCTAATTTAAACTATATTTGTTTTCATATTTGTATTTCAATATGTATTTAACCAATTGTTGGGAGAGATATTTTTCTTTATTCGTTTTCTACATGTGTCATTATAGAATTGTCATTTTAAAAACAACTAAATATGGCAACATTGTGCCATTTTTTTATTGCTTTGTTTCTAAGTTTACATTTTATTTATCATACAATCCTTTTCGTGCAGATTTGTATATAAAACAGAAGATTTTATTTTATTGAACACCTTCACGTAAATGTAAGACATAATATAAAACTGATAGGCAGTATATTTCCTGGTACTATAAAATCACTTTCAGTTTTGTCAATCAAAAAAACAAGAGCATACTGATGTACACGTGAAAATCTGAAACAACGAAGCGTCACGTATGCGTACGATTCCTTTTCCGATACATGACCCTCTGAGTATCTTCACAAAGCGCAATTACACATTGTCATTTAAGTCAAAACCCTACGCCGCTTTCAAATGTCTTCAACTGTTTCGGTTGTTATACAACATTACCTTTTAAATATTCGGCTTTGGGCGTTTCTGACGAATCTAGAAAGAGCTTTGGAAGCAAGAAATTTATAAAGTGCTGTTTTCGGATTTTTTTCAACGTATTTTTTTTAAAAACAATTATCACACACCGACAAGTTTCAAAAATGTTACTTGTACATGTATACACTAGTGGGTTAATAAGTAGAAATTCCAAAATTCCAAGATAAAACTCATTTATCAGATAAATTTAAATACAATACATTATTATATATTAATATAGTGAATGGCTTCACCGAATTCATACATCAACCAATCAACACAAGAAGCGTATTCATATATGGTCTCTAACAAAAAATAATTTCTATCAATGTCAAACATAAAATCGGCCCCGAATTGACCCCTCCCCTTGTTAATTCCTATCAATAAAAAAGCAACAGGTATACACAAAATTTTACAATTCAAACCAGTACTAAAAAGCATTTCACTTTATAATTCCGGAATATAATATAACAAAATACTAGTTCAAACATGACAATGTATAAACCATTCAGACTCCAAATAACAACGACAAGTATTTGTGAAATTTGTTCGCAGAAAAGTTAACTTTAAGAATAACTATATATACGAGTATTTAGAATAGTTTGATGTAACTTACCTGGGATCGATAACTCATCGAAACAATTTTGTTTTTCCACTAACATGTCGTAGCGTGAATATCTATACACAGTTTACTGCATATATGTACCAGTATTATATCTTACATTCAAAAGTGTTTAATCATTTAACTCTTATAAGTGCTTTCAAAATGTTCTACAATAATCTAATAACATTGTTTTGTTGCGGAAAAAAAACCAGTCAATTGGATTGTTGATTTTAAGGCAATTGGACTAATTAAAAGCAAACTGTTATGTAAGCGTTGTTTCTTTTTATTATGTCCGTGCATGTTTCATAATGCCTTTTTGTCTAGACGGGTGTGTCTTTCTGTCATGATTGCTTAACATCCCTAGTTAGAAAACGCAGCTGTTGTATATGAGACATAACAAGTCTTCGTTATGTATACAATTAAATGTAAAAAAAGGTAAAAAAAAAAACATCCACCGGCTTATTTAATATCAATATCAACATCAAAATGTAATAATAGTTCATCTACAACAAAACTACTAAATAGCCTTTCACTGACTTTGGGTTGTCCTTTTAAACATGTGACTAATTTAAATGTTTCAGAACGGTAAACCTTCTCATAACTTGCGACGGTATTGTCGTAAAGCATTGCAACAAACTGTAAAACATCATTGAAATAAAAGATTTGTAATTTATACAATTTTTCATCTATATTGGAAGGGACATTAAGTCCACAGAAAGTACTGCACGAATCCAACAAAACGTCGAAATGCACAACTGCACATATTTTCATCCTATTCTGTCAAGTTTAATGCATTTCCAATACAATGGGAAAATTGAATTAATGCAATATGGAACTCAAACATTAAGTTAGTGAGTAAAAATTGCTGATAAAAAGGTTAGACTTACAGACTATGAATAAAACGATGAAGAGAAAACATCAACCCATAAACAAACATACGCATACAAACGCACACTCAAACATCTTTTGTAGGAATGTGGCATGTGGCGGGGTTAAAATTATGTCATTTAGATCAATAGACCATATTCAAATGTTCAGCCTGAATTTGTTATTATAATTAAAAAGCACATACAAATGAAAAAAGAAGGTCAATAGTATCACCTGCACTCTTTATGAATAATCATCTTTGAAGGGTAATTCACCAAAAAAAGAATGTATCATAACAGGTTTCTTCAAAACAAAAGAGCTACCAACTGGGAGCTGTACAGATAACCGAAATCGTTTTACAAAAATTAAAAAGAACTCTCTTAAAACTTTTGTTTATGAATGAACTGCCAGCAGTCCATGATAAACCACATTTTATTCCAATAGTAAACCATTTTTATCTAATAACATCATTACATTAAACAATAACATAATTGTGTATGAAAATGATAAAATTCTCAGTGATCCTAAAGAGGTATAAGAAATATTCAACATTTTTGTTCTTAAATCATTGTAAATGTAGCTCACGATATAGGCGACAAAAACATCCACTACACAGAAATCACACAAGTATAAAAAAATATGGCACAACCAGTAATATCAGATCCTAATAAAAAATTTGAGGTAACAAATCAATTGAAAGTTCCATTTTTCTAGATAACATTAAACTTCAAGCTGCTCAGATATCCAAACTGTTTAAAAAGAATAAATCTTTCGATAAAAGAAATTATAGGAAATTTATGAACATGATGAAAGAGCAATACATGATCAATTAATTAAATTGTTAAGTAAACATTTTCATCCTCTTCTTCCGGTTTTTATGTCTGGTTTTGGTTACTGAACTGCACCTTTAAAGATAATAGAAGATCAGAAAAAAAGATCTGGACGACAACAAATTAATTGCAGCAATTTTGATAGATCAATCTTAAACATTTAATTGTTTACCGCACGATTTACTTTTACCAAAACTGGAAGCAAATAGTCTGTTTAAAAGTCTCTAAAATTATTATAATTCCAAAGTTATTTAGAAAAAGAAAACAACGTATCAAAATCTGAAGTTCTTACAGTAAATGAGATAAGATGTTCAAAGAGGTACCACAAAGGTCAATATGTGGGCCCGTTCTTTTCAATGTCTTCATAAATGACATACTTCTTTTTGTACCAAAAAATCTATATTGTCTTACCATGAATTATATGTATAGGTTAAAAATTGTGTTGTTTTCTTGACTTTTGCATGTGTATATAAATTGTTGGTTAGTACTTTATGTAGTTTATATATCAACTCAATTTAAACATTGAATTGAACTACATCGTAACTTTTTAATTTCGTCAGTGTATATATTTTTTTACTAGAAAAACGAACACTATAACATGTATAAGTATGCGAGTGACATTTTCGGAAAAGACGTCTAGTTTTTTACTTTTATGCATCAACCTACATGTAAAACACAACTGATAGTTTATTAACTTAACCTCTTTTTGTTTGTCCCAGTCGTAATAAAATCGTTCAGTGCAGTTTTTGTAACCTGATCAGGAATATTGCTATTGTTCTATTTCTGAATGTGAACAGGTTTTGGTGATCTGCTTATATTCTATTAGCAGCAGGTATCAACTAACATTCAGTCGGTGTCAATAGTTGCAAAATGTGTTTGATGGGTATGACATTACAGGTTCTATTAAATCGAATGAAAGGGAACGTCGATCTCAAGCATCTGGTGGACTCAAGGTCTGCAACATAAATGAAGGAAGCATTATCCGAGACTGGAAAACAATCCTTGTGAACGAAAGATTTAAACAGGCCTTTATCTACTTTACCGGGGACTTCACTTCAAAAGTATAGTGTGCCAGTAATCCACTGCCTGTTGGATAAACATTATATCTAGCAGAAATTGTGGAACAAACTCCTAATAATTTACAATCGAATTACTGACTGCGATACAAAACTTATACTATATGTTATCCATCTGGACAAACAATACAAATATTTTAGTTTTCTGAAAAAATGTATCTAATCTCAACGCGGTTCGTGGGCTTTAAACAAATATACACCCCGTATCGCTACTATATTAATTTGTTATCTTGATTTGTTTTCTGAATCGATTTATGAGATTTGAAATCTGTAAACTACTGTTGCCTTTATAAAACAAACAGGATCCCTCGTCATTGCTGATACAGCTAAGTCCTCTACCTTTTGACCCCTTTTATTTTGCAATTTTTCTTTTATATATTTTTCTATCTAACAAAATATTCAGTTTTTACGTTATAGATGCATGCTAGAACAACAATTTTGATACAACATGTTATATTTAAGGTAACTTTTATTCGTATTTTGCAACGAGTACTGTTTTACCGACGTCAAAGTGGTGTCCGTTTTTGCCATGGTTTGTGGCATTTGCAACTACGAATCGTAGTAACAATATTTAAGCAAAGTGTCAAGTGAAAAAAAAAACGATTCAATAATTCTCTGCTGCAAATAAGTCCACATCGCAACGTTTGTGTTAACTTTGAAAATGTTCATGTCTGACCTTTGACCCAGATTAAAAACAAACAGCGCCATAGTTCACTTTTATCACTGGGCAAACTTAATTCTACACATTTTACACCTATGCTATTATATATATAATGTAGACGTATGTTAGGTAGGTGCGTTTAAATATTCTTTAGGTCTTATATATGTTACTCGGATCGCCTACAGAAGGTTAGGAAAACTCACTTAACTAAAATTACTGGTATAATAAACAAGAAAACAGGAGCGATTTATACAGTTCCTAATAGCTGCTTAAATCCGCTTCATTTGGACTCTGTTGGATAGTTGTATCATTGGCAATCATACCACATATTTTTATTTTGAAATAAACTTTATAGCTTCAAAGAATGCTCACAGGAACTGACAAAAATGTTTGTTTCCTTCGTCTACCTACTATAGTATATATCATTCAATACAATCAAGATTTTAACTACACACCTGTGATGATAAATGGCATGCTGTAGAGTCTTAACGTTATTCGTTACGAATTAATTGTCTGACCACTCTATAGCTGCCGATAAATAAACTCATGAAAGATACCATATACCTTTGAACACCAGACGCGTGCTTCGTCTACAAATGACTCATCAGTTATCATTTCCAATAACACTTGTCTACGAATTGTGTAAACTAAATGACCGACTCTTTGTTCACCTATACAGGGCATTGCATGCTATTCTTTGACCTGTTTCAGGATAAGGCGAATCAATGAAAGTCTTTTCTTTTGTATCATGTAAAGTTTCGTTTTGCGTGCAACATTCTACGTCCACAAAGCTACTTATAATAGAAAAAAGCCGAAAGACAAACAATACTAGCAGCCAATACCAGCTGTCAACATAATTATCATTTGCATAAATAAGGATTTTAAGGGTTTTTGTACAAGAATCTTTTTGGTAACAGTAAAAAAAAAAACAGCCAGATACTTGAATTTGTATATCAGGTTATACAATGTATCGGCACACAATGTCATTATTACGACATTCGATGTAGTAATTTCGTCATACCTATCTCGCTAAATAACTACATACGATGTCGTCATAACAATATCCTATTTTTATTTAAAGAATGCGTACAACATGCACATGTATGTTATTCTAGAAACACGTGGCATGTACACGGTATTTATTACTTTTTTCCCAGTAGCCAATGCTTTGAGATTTGCATGATTTAAATGGTACATGTATTCATGTTGTGAATAATTTTTTGTATACCACATATATTTAATAAAGATAAGGTTTCAACTTCCTCACACAATGTAGTTCGCTTTCTGAGTATTTTCATACAGTCATATAATAAATTATTTTTAAATAGATATAAGAAGATATGGTATGAGTGCCAATGAGACAACTCTCCATCCAAGTAAAAATTTATAAAAGTAAACCATTATAGGTCACAGTACGGTCTTCAACACGGAGCCTTGGCTCACACCGAACAGTAAGCTATAAAGAGCCGTTTTACGTTCATTTTCAAATATTACGTTGAGGTATATTGCTTCAACTGCAGAGATCTGAGCGGCAAATATTAATAGGAAAGCGTCATTTGTAATAAATTATTAAAAATATCTTTATAATTATAAAGTAGATATACAAGAAGTACGCTTACATATGAATTTTTACTAATTTTGACTCATTTTGTAATATTATGATAAAAAAAAGTATCTTACTGTTCAACCGTATTTACATCTACATATTTTGTTTGGTCTTACACTGTTTATTATTTTTTAATTTCATGTTTTAAGATGATTTTGTTTATGTTTTTCCTTAAAATATGACCACATCCGACTGACATAAAAGTCTTCTTCCTGAACATGCTGAATGTA